AAAAAATAAATAAAAAGCAATAACAACAACATCTTGCAAACATTATAACAAATCTAAATAATCCATTTAACCTCTACCAGGGAAGTTCCGTAAATTCTTCATTTATGTTCAGAATCATCGTGCCTCCCCATTTTAAAAATCCTGGATTTGCCAGTGTTAAATATGCAAATTAGCAAGTCATGTGACATTCACAGCCAATATTAAGTCAAGATGGAATGTTGTGTATCAGAAATCATCATTAACAGCAAGGATATCTAACTGATGTGAAGCAAGATGTTCTAATATTTATAAGTAGAAATGTAAGAAAAGTATATTCAGAAATGCTACTCATCTCTTCACCAACAAGAGCTATTATTTTGCATGCACTGTTATTTAAATTCCTGTGTGTGCCACAAGCCTTGAATAAAACACTCACCCCTACACATGCCAACATGTATTGCACTGACATATGATTTAACTCTTTCGACACAGGCTTGGTCTCTGGGACCGAGTCTCGTGACCTTCTGTACTCGTTTAAAGTTGACATAAATTTGATACTTATACCTCTCTATATATAGGGTATATCTTCACCAAATTTGGCAGTCTTTCAGTTAATATTACAAGTCTTTCACATACAAAAAGTCATATTTCTTAGTGAAGTACTTTTATTAAAATAAAATAAAGTTTGGTCCATGAATATATTGAGTATTTGTTTTGAATAGACCATGTGCAAAGTAATTTTAATGTTAAAATTGAAATTACTTTTCGCCATCTCAAAAATCTCAAATTTCCTCTGTGTGTAATCCCTAAAAACCTCCTAAATGCATTTCAAACGGTTTTTTTTTCAATAAATCCTTATAGTTTATATGTTATTTTCTCTAAATCCTAATAGTTTATATGTTATTCTCTCTACCCTAATCTCAAAATGGGATCGGTCAATTCGACCGACGTCGTAACCACCCAAAAAAAATCGAAATAAACCTAAATTAACCTTCTTTTTCTTTCTAGTATGATTTCAAATTGTAACATGAAACTACATTCATTTATCCTAAGTAGCTATAAGTTCATAACATTATACATCTATTTATAATTAAATTTTATTGTTTTATTGCCCTTTGAACTGTGTCTAACTGCTATCTACGCCATTATAAGTTGTAAATCACTCTGGGAACGTGCAGCTCACGTTATGCTATTGAATTACATCACCCATGAGCTGCTTAAAATTTGTATACTATTAAAATATGGATTATTAGCTAAGATTTTATGCTATTCTAATTGGTATAACATAAA